TCAGCCCTAGTCCCTCAAGACTTTTTTCCTACAGCTGAGTTTTATGAAATCAGAGCTTGACTGAAAGGCAGGACTGCAGAAAAGCAAGCTGTGGGTTAAGGGTGGACTATTTGTACTGTCAAATATGCCAGCACCCTCCCCAGTCTTTTTGACAGTGTGCTTAGTAGATGTTGGGTTTAAACATCTTGGCCTTCCAATCTCATGTTTGACCCAAATAACTGTGTGGCCAGTACTTCCTACTCCAGTGAAGCAGAGGAAAACCAGGACTGGTTCTTTGCTTTGGGGGTGAAAGATGCTTTGTCAAAGAAGCAATTGGGCACCAGGAAACCCATTGGTGGGAATCATGTTGGTGATGACTGAATTAAAGACTGAACTGAGCCAGTATATTTAAATAAAAGTTTTCCGTATTATCTGACTAGGTCTACAGGTCAAATCAGTAGTTACTAACTTGCATATAATTTTCAACAAAGTTATTCAAAATGCAAAGGTGAATTTTTATTTTTGTAAGAGGGAAGACATGTAATCCTACTTTCAATTTAAAATATTTCTTTAAAAGCTCACTTGATCAAGTTACTGAATTAAATGACTGCTGGCTGTGGGGACTATAAATCTGGATGTATAAATCTGGATGTTTTAACAAGTATGTGCTGAGTTAAGGTATTTCTGTAGTGCTAACATTTTCCTCCACAAAGTGCTTGGCAATGGCTCTCCAATATGAATTAGCAATTTATCACTGAATTATGAAAGATGAGAAGGGGCTCCTTTTCAGACTACCTAGAGCTATCTTCTAAGCAAAACTTTGAAATACATTTTTAAGACCCTAGTGTCGTTCTTGTCATTGGTACCCACTGTGCCTTCAGCACAGCAGAAAGAGAAGTTCAAGGAAAAACTTCAAGGAATTAATTTCTGCTAGTCTCGTGCTAAAGTCCTGAGAGCCCCGCTAGAAAAAAGAATCATGGCCATTCCACTTAACACAATAGATGGTCCTTTTATTTCTTACCTGTTTGGAATATATCATCAAAGTGTGGTAGATGCTAAACAGGGACGATTCCAGGCCCTTAAGACTGTGCAAGACACAAAGCTAAGACTTTAACAAGAGGGTGTTAACAAGTCTCCGCCCTTTCCATGCTATTGTTTGAACTAGGCTCACTAAAGTGGTGACTCAGTTCACTTCCCATTTCTTACTGAACAATTAAATGTTAGTTATCCAAAATGTGGTTAATTCACAAATAGGTGTTATTTACTGTTCATTCATCCCCCATTATACCAAAAGTCGTTGTTCTGTAAAAAAGAAAATTGCACAGAACTATTGCAGTGGGGAAATTAAAGGCAACCCTTTTATTTCAAGTTTTGCTTTTATGTGCTTTGTAGACTATAAAAGGGAACACGGTAATGAATTCCTATCAATTTGCTTCCTCCTGAGCAACAAAAAGTTACATTATCATTTTTATATGGCACATATTTACTTACAAGCAGGAAACGCAGCATCTTTTAAGGTGCCACTGAGTCTGATATAATGAAAACTCTTGGTTGCCTGTGTAATTTTCAGTGCTTTGATAGTTCACCCTTAGACATTTATGTTGAAATGACTCACTGGTAATTCTGGAGGAGTAAAATCCTAACAACATTTTCTTTATTATCAAAAATGCGTGGGATTAATCCATTGGCTTGCTCTGTTCACAAATTTTTCCTTGAATCAGCTAGTCATTTCCCTTCATAGAGAAGATAAACATTGGATGTAGCCTATTACATTATTGAAACTGCAACAAAACACTTAACCAATTAACCAAAATATTATTATTTCTTTGTACTATTAATGATGAAATGGTATACCTTCTCCACACTAATAATTTTTTTAAAATTTAGTGACATTGATAGGAGAAGTTCCTCATTTTGATCTACAATACCT